ACACACACACACACACACACTACCACACACACACACATTAACACACACATGTATACCCACACACACTAACGCACACATGTATACCCACTCTCCCGCACATACAGATGCACAAAAGCAAAGCCTTGAGCTCGCTCTTCCCGCAAGGAGATGACATGGTGGTCATCCTGGACGATCGGAGTGATGTGTGGCAGGATGTAGACAATCTCGTCAAAGTGGTGCCGTACGTCTTCTTCAGTGGTGTGCCCGATCTCAACGCCACGCCACTAGACATGTAAGTTTCTAAACGGTTTGCATATCCAGCACGGTAAGTGTGGTGTTATCTATACTTCAGCTGTGTGGCGAGTCTTACAAGGAGACGGTATGATAAGACATGTAAGTTTCTAAACGTTTTTTATATCCAGTTAAGGGTGGTGTTATCTATACACACATATTCAGCTGTGTGGCGAGTCTTACAAGGAGACGGTATGATAAGTGATGATTGGCGAATGCTGTGATGTGTGGTAGGGTGTGGACAATATCGTACGTCTTCTCCAACGTCGGGCTTGACCTCAATGCCCACCATACGGCACCTATTCCATTGAATATCAAATGTTGTACGTGTGGTATTCCATATTTTGAATATACTACGGCTGGTTTTGTATGTTAAATGTCAAAGGTGTAGTATACTACCTAGCCGTAGTAGGTAAGTAGCCAATATGGTTGGAGTGGTATAATATACGAACATCCTAAATGTGCTCCATTTACAAGAAGTGTGGCATATGTAATCTTCTACGTTTGACATTGTTGCCTATGTTTGCTACCAGTAGCGATTAGATTCTTCAAGTAGTTACAAATAATATGTGCAGTCAAAACCCTTAAAGATGCGGTTTCCTAGACACTCTTCAAGTAGATACAAATAATATGTGCAGTCAAAACCCTAAATGATGGGGTTCCCTAGACGCTCTTCAAGTAGATACAAATATCATGTGCAGTCAAAACCCTAAAAGATGGGGATTCCCTAGACGCTCTTCAAGTAGATACAAATATCATGTGCAGTCAAAACCCTATAAGATGGGGTTCCCTAGACGCTCTTCAAGTAGATACAAACAATATGTGCAGTCAAAACCCTAAATGATGGGGTTCCCTAGACGTATCCAGCGATAGGTAGGGACTTATACTATTCCACAAGATGGACAAATAAAAAGTTGTTCTGACACAACAGTCTAGTGTCAAAGTGCACGAGTGTGTTATAGGGTGTGTATCGGGAAGTTGCTTGTTCTTTGCACTCTGATCAAATGTGGTTGCCACACAAGCAGCCGTTGTAGGGACACGCCGTTACAGCGCTTTCCTGTTTAACTATATATATATATATATATATATATATATATATTATACGCTTGCCAACGGTATATAGAACAACAATATACTAACAAGCAATGACACACATGCGTACATACACCACAGTAAACTAGCACAAGCCGAAGAGAGAAGAAACAAACGAATAGACGAGCTCTCAAGAACCAAAGAAACAAACCCAAGCGGTGACACAGCAACAGCACAACGAGAGGCAAAAGGGAGAACACCGCCTCCACCGTCGCTACCCGCGTTACAGGGGAATGCACACACCGCCACGGCCGATGGAACAGACACCACACAACCCACGGCTTCCAATACATCAACACACACCACAGACCCCTCAGAAAGGAAAACAACAAGCACGTCTACATCGAGCTTAAAGGATGCAGCTACGACAAAGTCTGTGGCGACCAAGCCCAGCACGCGCCTGGAAGTCCTTGGTTTGCGCCGTTTAAGAGACGTTATTGCCCGTGTGCACAAGGAGACGGCAGATGCCATTGTGCCAGAAGCTGACTTGGAGGCCTGGAGGAAACACAGCCTCGCCACAGGCATCAAATCAGTCAGCAAGCTGCTGAACGAGAGCGTATGTGGGGATACTCTCTATACTGGGTTATTTACCGGTGTATGTGTGCATACAC